TACATCTATATCAGCTCTGACTTAGTCTTCACATTCTTTCTCATCAAAAATTGGCATTAGAAAAAGCAGATCAGCTAGGCATTATGGAATATATATTTTAAGTTAACTGCTGCTCCAAAGCAGTCAGGATTTCTCTTGATGCTGCTAAACTCATAATCGTGTGACATGCTTAGTCAGCATCATGCTGCCTGCCTTCATGGCTCACTTTGCCAGATGTAATGTCTCCCTGGCTACATCCATCAAAATTTTTGCATCTACTGCCATGGGGTTTGACCTGCATGTTAGGTTAGGTTGTAACCCAGAAATAAATGAGCACCTGACTCAGAGTGAAATAAATATTGCTGCTGGTTCCCCATTGACTCTATGCCTTCATTGACCAGGAAAAGTTTATAACCATTTCACCTCCAAGGAGTAGGGTTGTTGTGAAGGCTCCATGGAGGTTAAATATACCAATTAGGCTCAATTTAATAGAGGTTAGACTTAAATCTACTGATTCCCCATTACTTCCTTCATATAGTAGGAGACCTGGAAGATCATAGCTGCTATTTCCGGAGGAAAGGCCAGCAATTTCTCTGATAGGTGGTAGTGGTTGTTTTAAATCCTCTCATGTGGTGAGGAGCTAAGCAGGATCTGGAGGGGCTGGAAGCACCATGTGCTGCAGCCACATTCTTAGGCTCCTGTTGTCTTCCCATTAATCAGCCTTCCTTCATCATGGGAGCAATCTGAAACTAATTGTGTGATTTTAGTGGAGAAGAAAGAAGAGTAGGCCCTAGCCCCATGCCAGCAATCTAGGCACAAAGCATTTCCCATGTGGACTGGCACAGTGAGTAAAAATCATCAGAATGAGAATATATTTTTGCTGGTAACTTTCCTCTGTGTATCTTTTCACAGAGATATAATGTGGAAAAGGGCTTGTTTAGGAAAGAACTCAGATATTCAAGGCTTCCCTTTAAAACTCCTTCTTACCCTTTTGTAGCATCCTGGTTTCAGAATAATTGACTGCCATATTCTCCAGTCTCCTAGTAATTGAATTATCATTTTCCCTTTTTGTTTTGATAATTGAATTATCATCTTTCCTCCTGCACCCTGCTCTATATCCTGGTCACATGAATGGATCTGGGCCCTTGATCCTCTATTCCTTTATTAATGCAGGTCACTTATGTCCTTTTTGCCAAACTGAATGACCCTTTAACCAAGTGACTGCTCCATTCCTGCCTATAAGACACCTTTGATCATCAGGCTTGAGGGTGCATGGATGGGACCAGCCATTTCATTTTGTAGACTTATCTCTTAACCTAGGATCCACCAATGGACACCAAATCTTGCTCCTGTAAGGTTGCACATGCCTCTACCTGACACTTCTTGGGCTCCTTTTTCTCTGTGTGTGTGTGTGTGTGTGTGTGTGTGTGTGTGTGTGTGTGTATGTGTGTGTGTTTTCCTGTGTAGTTTGTGCTACTATGTACCTCAATTCTGTGAAAATCATAGTGGAAGAATTAAGCCTTTTGAGCCAAACAGAATAGAAGTTCTAGTACATTTATACCATTTTAATGTTGAATGTTATTAAACATTTCTTACCAGAAGTCTCTATTTCTCTAAAACCTGGGTCATTAACCTTATTTGGTGGCTTTTGGGCATTAAATTAGCTAATGTGCATATATCAAGTGAATATAAATGCCAGCCTTTAATCTGTCTTTGAAGTTACCCCCTTCTCTTCCCTCCCTTGCCTCCTCCCTCTTTCTCTGCCTGTGTTCTTTCCTTTCTTTCAACAAAAGTTGCTGAGAGCCAGGCCTTGTGCCACAAAACAAGAACACACTCTCAAATAATTCATTCTAATATTAGAGACAGACACACATAGCAGTAACTTTAATCTACTCAGTAAAGCTCATAAAAAAGGAGGAGGCCATGCCCAGCAAGGCTGAATTTTCTCACCACCAGATAGGCAGCAACTCCTCTCCAGCGGACAAGGAATACAAGGAGTCTGCTTAGGATCTGCTGCTGAGTGTCTCCTCAAGTAGGTATTTGATTATGCATAAATTGTCTGTTAGTATCACTTAAAAGACTGCTCAATTTATTTCCCTCAACGAATATTGTCACATGCCCTGTGTGTCCTCTAAAGATTAATGACTAATTTTTTTTAATTCTGCCTACCATATATGTAAAACCCTTTATGACATGTTCATTGGTTTTAGACAGTCTATTGGTTTTAGCCAATGAACATGCTTCACTATGCTCCTCAGGCCAATGAAAATCTCTTTACAGGCTACAAAAGTGACTTACAGTGAAATCTTATCATCTGAGCTCTCTGGAAAGAAGAACAATATATAAGTGTGAATGTCAGATTATCTTTTACATATTTTTATTTTCAAGCTCTTCAGAGATGTGATTAAGAGAAGTTGATCCATCTCTTACTTTCCTTTAAATAAGAAAGGTAACACGCAATGCGACTTGATCTTTGATCAAAATACGAAGTTCCATGAGGTGCAGTGGCTCCCACTTGTAATCCCAGCACTTTGGGAAGCTGAGGTGGGTGGATCACTTGAGCCCAGGAGTTCAAGACCAGCCTGGGCAACATGGTAAAACCCGTCTCTGCAAAAAATATAAAAATCAGTTGGGTGTGATGGGCATGCCTGTGGCCCTAACTACTTCGGAAGCTGAGGTGGGAGGATCATTTGAAACCAGGAGATCAAGGCTTCAGTGAGCCAACTGTGTCATATGTACACACACACACACACACACACACACAAACACACACACACACACGTTCCTTTCAACATGGACGAGAAGAGAGTTGACAACTTACGTGCAAAGCTAATCTGGAAAATTGAGAGGAACTTGCTCCCCTTTTTTTTAAACTCAGTAACAGAGTTGATTTCCAGTTTTAGCTGGAGAGTTCTTTCATGTTTCAATTTGATCACCTTAAAGATGCAGTTGGTGGTAGTGATTAAGGCATATTCAGAAAAGAGGTCGTGAATTTGTTATTGTGCTCCAGAATGGAAGCTCCTCACCAGATCCCAATTCAATCGATGTCAAGACCATCAGGTTACTCACCTTTCCCAGCATTTCCTCCTGGAATAAATGAGCTTCCTTAGCTCTCCTGGCTTATGGCTCAGAGGTTTCTTTACATCATTTTCTCAAACAACAGATGATGATGTAATCTGTGGATATGATTGGTGTTATAAATTTTCTTAGAGGGAAAGTGCTTTCAATTCTTTGTGGAAAGATCTGCCTTTAGGGGAAAAATTGTGGTAATTGTTTGTGGTTAATAGAGTACTTCCCACTCAAAATTACAGGGTGAGAGGAAAGCTTGATTCACTTAAGAAAGCCAGTAAGTTTTAGAATGGATTTTTGCCAAATGGTAATAATTTTAACAAGTGCCTTCATAAAAACACAATATTTGGCTCTCATTGTAGCTTGATGAGGTAGTTAGAGCAAGAATTATCATTCCAAACGAGACAACTGGGCTTCCGCAGGGAGGAAGTAGTTTTCTTAACGTCTCCTAGGTAGCATGTAGCATCGGGATCCAAAATTACCTGTGCTAACTTTGAATGTCCTGCTTTTCTTTAAAACCCCATTACTTCCTCAGCTGAAGTTGGCAAGTCTGTGCACTTCGTCTTTACAAGATAACCATCACATAATCTAAATTCAACTCTCTATTCCTTGATTTATCCTTTCTAAAATTAATTTATATATTTACGAAGTAGCAAAATTAGCTTAGGCAAAAAAAGTACATTTGAGAAAATACAAACCACTAAGGAAGTACTATCATGGAGTACTATCTTTACATTAAGTGGTGCTCCAGGTTCCTGAGACAGCTCTGTTACAGAGAAAGCACCCACTGAAAGGTTGTTCTATGATGTGATGAAGGGAAAGCACCATAAATCTATCTAGATATTATGCCTGGAAAGAGAAGTGAGGAGTCAGTGCTACATGATGTAGGAAGAGAAGCAGGAAGGAAGTAAGGAATGGCAGTCTTCTATCGTGATAACTATATTCAAAATGTTATTTAAACAATTGCAATTTTTATGAATCAAAGAATTCAGTTGCATGCACTGCCCTAAACAAAAATGGCTACTAATGAGAACTGGGAAGATTAGTGGCAAAGAGGCCCCTAAATGGTACAGGCTGCTTCCTAGAAAATAAATCACTCAAAATGACTTATGTAGCTCCAGTGTGTAATATTAAGTAGAGGATCTAAGATATTATGGTCAGAAGTACCTGAAGAATTTGTCAAAATTTCAGTGTATCGTGCCTTCCTCCCAGGGGTTCTGACTCACCCAGTGGGACCCAGGGATCTGCATACTAATTTTCTAGGCTGTTCTGTTAGAAGTGGACTAAAGACCACACTTCCAGAATTTCTAGCACCTAGAATAGTCAAATTCACAGGGACAGAAAGCAGAATAATGGTTGCCAAGGGCTGGAGGAGGAAGGAATGTGAAATTCATGTGTAAGGGGTGTAGCGTTTCAGTCTAGGAAGACGAAAAATGGAAATGGATGGTAGTAGTGGGCGCATGACAATGTGAATATATTTAATGCTATTGAACTATATACTTTCGTTAAAATGGTAAACTTTCGGGTATACATATATGTATTACCAAAAATACAGCAAGAATTTCTAACACAAAAGGAGGCCATTCTTTAAAACTATTCATGTGTCTTTGCTTTCATATTGTGTTGATAAATGGAATAGATATCTCCAATTTAAAATGTCGTAGTTTGTGCTCAATTGTGGATTACTATTGTATCACCGTCATCATTTCTTTATGACAGAGCAAAAATAATGGACTAAATAAAAAGATTTGTGATACTTCATTTTTGCTTTATTGAGAGAACATAGATTTATTGTATATCCATAGAGTGATCAAATTAATGGGAATTTAGAGCTACTCCATCTGCATTCTAATGACTGCTCCTCTAAATGCTTCTCCAAAATAGATTTATCTGACTTTGCCTTATCTTGTTTTTGTGACAAAAATATGTATTGATACTCATGCTCTTTTCAGGACAGGGTGTGGGCCAACGTGGGGAAGAGCCTGAACTGCATTATCGCTATGGTGGACAAACTGATTGAAAGAGATGGTGGCAGTGAAGGCAGTGGCGGCAACAATGATGGAGAAAAGGAACCTTCATTAGCAGACGCCATCCTCTCTCACCCAAGAGGTAGAAATCATTTTTTCCAATCATTTACTGAGTAAATAAAATGAGAAAGTCATGATAAAATGAGATAGAAAGAGAGGAGTAAATCGTATCTTTGATGAAAGTGCTGATAGCATGCTTTTCCACTGCTCTGGCTTGGATGATGGAAGGCCATTTATCAAATTGCATCTCAGTTGTGTTTTCAGAACCGCTTGCAATGTTCTTTTTTCTTCCTCTTCTTCTCTTACCACATAGAAACCTTGAAAAAAGAACAGTGTTTCTTCTTTTAAGGATTTGACATAGTATAATCTGCTTTTACACACATTTCTCTAAAATTTTATTAGAAAGATAAATAAGCATCTGCATTTGACTCTTAGAAACTTGGAGGCGTATCAAGGACACAGTATCTCACAGTGGTTTCTGAACAGAATATAATCAGATAGTACGATTTGTGCATTATTCTGAGAAATATTTGTGTAAATTATCTCCAAAACATATAGGAAGATTTGACTGTAAGAAATATATTAGCACATTGCTCTAAAAATATATGACAAATCTAGATTTTCATGAAAATATGCACGCACATATACATGTGTATATATGTGAGTATATGTGTTTTTCTGTAGAGAGGGAGGGAGGAAGGAAGGGAGGTGGCAGACAGATAGGTAGATAAGTAGGTAGGCAGGTAGGTAGATACTTTCAAATGTATGCATTGTTACAAGGTTAGCTAGAAAATACAAAAATTTTAACTACAGGTGTGTCCCTATAAATGGCTTTGAAATTTTCTTTTTGTTGATTTGATTAATGTTTGATTAATGTTACACAAAAACCAAGGCAGGCTGGGCGCTGTGGCTCACGCCTGTAATACCAGCACTTTGGGAGGCCGAGGCGGGTGGATCATGAGGTCAAGAGATCGAGACCATCCTGGCCAACATGGTGAAACCCCGTCTCTAGTAAAAATACAAAAAAATTAGCTGGGCGTGGTGGCGTGCACCTGTAGTCCCAGCTACTCCAGAGGCTGAGGCAGGAGAATTGCTTGAACCCAGGAGGCGGAGGTTGCAGTGAGCCGAGATTGTGCCACTGCACTCCAGCCTGGCGCCTGGTGACAGAGTGAGACTCTGTCTCAAAAAAAGAAAAAAACAAAAATTCAAAAAAACCAAGGCAAATGTCTACATTTCTTTATGGCAGTAGGAACTGCTATTAGGATTGAGTCAGACTTTTTGCTGGATGTCTGAAGTGTTTGGAGAGAATAAGTAATACTACCCTCCTCTCCTCTCCTGAAATCTGCTCTTTCTTTTACTTTAAGAACATGAGTCATAGGAAAATATGGACATTTATAAAATTAGATATACTTTTCCTCAATTTGTTTTCCTAATTTTTCATTACATTTTTGTCAGGAGTTTAATTATATAAAACATCAATCTTTCATCACTTGATTAACAGTAGAACCATTTCTAAATCACATTTGTAAGCTGTGTCTTTCTAAAGTATTCTTATTGCAGGTGGTTCCTCTTCCTCTGTCATACATTTATATAGGTGAAATGTTTATGCTAATGTTCTTGATGTTCACACCTACTTGATCTAACTGTAAAGATTTTCTTTTTTAATAATACCATTTTTATTAGTTAATGTAGGGATTTCCTTTTTTAATAATACCAGTTTTTATTAGTTAATGAATCCAGGCTAGCTTCATAACTTTACATGAATCAGAATGAAAGCTTGTCATAGCTATGTCATAAAGAAATAGCATACTTCAATTTTCTTTAATTGAACATATATTGATTATCAAGTATGGGCCAGACCCTGCTGTCCCCTGGAAAATGAGGTAAGAAGAATTCACTTTAGTGACTCACTATGTCCATTGATAGATTTTTCAAGATAAATTATTTTTTAACAGAAATAAGACAAGGGACACTGGATTTTGCTACATTTTTTTGTTTAATGTTGCCAAAACTTCTCGCTGAAGGCAATAAAATTCCGAAATATTTGAAATTATACAGTGTGTGTGTGTGCGCGTGTGTGTCTTGTATTTCATCAGAAGATTGCATATGGGCAATCAAAATGCATTTTAAAAGGTAAAATATTTGGTAGATAAATCATCTGTAAGATTAGATGAATCATTTTTATTTGAATAGAGACATTGTGTAGATATAGTGTAAACCTAAGTAGAAGTTGCTGCAAATGTGGAATTCACAACTAGATCAATGTTGTGAATGGTTAGGGTCAAACTACAACATAGTGCCTTCTAATTTATTTTCTTATTTTAATTTTATTATCTGTGTTTGTTTCACTCATCAATTCTTTCTTGTATTAGAATATTTTTAGGAGAAGTCACTATTTAAATGTGTAAAATATGTTACTTTTTTCTGAATATTTCCTCATAAACATTCTCAAGAACAAATATTATAATTAATACAAACTAATTCATTAAAAGAGAAGATATTATTTTAGATTTTTAAGTGTTATAATAGTACTGCAACTAACACATAATCATCTTTGATTCTCTAAGTTCTTAACTACTTGATAGTTTCCCACAAGTTAGACTGCTAGAACTGGAATTATTTTTTAAGGAAGAGTTACACCTTCTCTCCTATGTATTTATTTATCCTTTTTTTATATCAGCATGGACCATGAATACTTATTTTATTTTTTACGTAATTTTTAATTATATTTGACACATAATAATTGTACATTTTTATGGAGTTCACTGTGAGGTCTCAATATGTGTGTATGTATGGGTGAATGGAAAGCTTCTCCTTTGCCTTCTGAAGAGTTAGTGAAAAATTAATCCATAAAAAGGCAGATTTATAAGAGAAAAGGAAAATAAATGTATTGCTATCATATGGAAGGGGAGAATCATAGAGTGATTGCCTAAATTTTAGAGAAACTGTAGAGGAGAGGTAGTATGGATGATTTTAGGAAGATAGTAAATGATTTTTAGGATAATTTAATGGGCTTAAAGAACATACAATGGTCTGTTGGCCCTGTTGATTTGTGACAAAAATATGTCCAGGTTTGTTGATGACTTTAGTCTTCCTCCTGTGATATGGGTTCAGTTAATAAACACTCAAGGAATGGAACACGGGTAATTGGATTTTTGTTTGTTTGTTTGTTTTTGAAGATCTGGACTTTAGGCAGATAAGGAAACTTAGCCTGTGCTTTTGAAGAGGTAGAAGATTGAGAGATATGGGGGCGAGGCAGAAGAGAAACAACTCTTCTCCTTGGTAGGTCTTCTCTGTCTTTATGTAGATAGGGAAAAGTCTGTTCTAGCACCTGTTGATCTCTAAGGTCCTGTAATTCAACATATTCATTATACCAGGGAGCCCTGTTTTGGGGTAAAACTCAGTGTGCTCCTTCATTCACATAATACAGTGACCACATCAGGGCAATTAACATATTCATTACTTTAAATATTTATAATTCCTTGTGGTGATAACATTCAAAATATTTTCTTCTTGCTTAAATACTTAATTATTTGGTTAATAATCCAATACTATTTATTTTGGACTCAAATTGTTCTGGATTTAGCCACTGGAATCTCTTTTATTCAGACTGGTTTCTGTGTCTTTCTGACAACATCCTTCCATGGTCATTTACTTCCTTACTTTCTTATTTCCCTTACTCATTTTCTTACTGCTTTTGCTCACTGTCTTCCTCTTTGGCACCATAAGAAGCTCTAGGCTCATCTTATGTTTTCCCTACCCCAGCTCCAGGTTCAGCCAGTTTCTAAAGAACCCTGGTTTTATTTTATTTGAGAACAGCATTTAGAAATCAACATCTGGATGGATAGAAGCGTTTTGGTGGTTCTCTGTAACAGAAGACACTCTAGCAGGATCTATAAGCACCCTTCTAATTACAGTCTTCTCAGCCTTAAATATTGTCACTTATTTATACCACTTTGGGTGAAATATCATATGATAATTTCTTGTTTCTGTGAAGCTTGGCATTATATAACATATTACTATATTTCAAAATATTATTTCTGATAATAAAATTTATTTTTTCAATAGCCCCAAATTTATCCCAGGCCATAGTTGTGGTACAAAAGCCATTTTGCTTCTTTCCTTTTTATAATTAATTAGTGAATTGGTTAGGTGAGCAATTTAAGACATAGTATTTATTACAATGCAGCATGTGATAAATGCTGATAGCCTTTGTTGCAACATCATTTGTTAGTGATGTTATTCTTCATGTTGTATTACTCCTGGTTTTTTGTTTACATATTAGGTTCCATACCTATTTTACATCAAATTCTGGAATTTTGTTTTATAGGATTTTTATTATTGTGATTTATGTTGGGATACATTTTTAAATATGGAGTAAATCAATCCTATGACTGTTTTTCTTTCATCACACTCCTTTATTTTTACAGTGTAGCTATAATTTGTGCTTGTTTTGCTGCTATATACTTAACATGGTTAAACAGATGGTCATCCGAGTTGTGCTACTTTTATTCACTTTCTTACGTTGTTCTATAACCTACAACTATTTCTCTCTCCAAGTTGCAGATTTTCCTTTCCACAGTATATTGATTTAGTAATATTTTAAATTTGTAGTTTTGAAGATTTTCTGTTTGTTTGAGAGCTGAGGTTTTATAGTATATCTTTCACTTGTTTTACAAATTTCTCTTCAGGGTAAGTGCAGATAGTGCTGAGAGACGTAAAACTATCTGTGCTGTTCTGAACAGAAAGAATAGAATAGTTATTCGAAAGTTCTACAGCTGATGTATATTTATGTGGTTCCCTAATGAACAAAGATTGTCCTTTTATTTGTGGTACACTCAAACACCTTTCTGAGTATCTGCTGTCTGTGTAGCATTGCATGCCTTCAATTTCATAAACTCCAGACTCAAAGACAAAATCAGTGAATATCAGAATCTTAGATTTTGATGTCATCTTAAAGATTATGTAATTGAACCTCCTAAAATATGTTAAGAAGCTTATCTACAATATCTCTGCCAATTTTCAAGTAGCCTATGAGGCATATCCTGAGTTATAGAAAACAATTTTTGTTTTCTAGAGCAG